AGGTGAGGTGCGCGCTGACCGGTCACGAGCTGCCCTGCCGTCTGCCCGAGCTCCAGGTCTACACCAGCGGCAAGAAGTACCGGAGGCTGGTCCGCGCCTCCCCGGCCTTCGACTACGCGGAGTTCGAGCCGCACATCGTGCCCAGCACCAAGAACCCGTGCGTGGGCGGGGGCGGGCGGCCTGGCACCGCTAGGGGGCCCCGGGTGGGACAGTTCCAGCCGGTGTCTGGCTGACGTTCGGAATCCCCGACCCCTCCCTGCTGGACCACCACCTGCCCAGGGGTTAGACCTGGGATGCATGTGGGAGCCCTGGGACTGTGAGTCACCTGCGGTTCCAGGCGAGGCCGGTCCCTCCTGAGCTTGCTTGGCTTTTTGTAAACGTGAGGTTTGTCATCTGGACCTGTCAGCTTCCTAGAGGATGGGGAGCGCTTGTGCTTTGTCTCCTGAGGTTCTGATCGAGGTCAGTTTCACATTTTTACTTTAACGGAGAACTTTGATTTAGCTGAGAGTGTATGCTTGATAAACATAGGCAGGAGGAAGATGTGATGGCATGGTGGACACTCTCCCTTATGGAGAACTTGAAGGGCGAATCCTCAGCATGCATTCTCACACCAGAGGCATCAGGAAGGCTGGCTAGGCCACATGCCGAGCAGACAGGCCACGGTCTGTCTGGATCGGTGGTTCTCCACCCTCGGAGGAGTGGGGCTGCTCTGGAGCTTTTAAAAACCCTGATGCTCAGGCCTACATCGTAGACGTCTCCGCCCCCATCAGCCTCTGAGGGTGATTCTGAGATGCAGGATGCAGCCACGGTGGAGAGCAGGTCTGGATCCTTTCTTGTGAACTGTCCCTGCAAAACCAAGGTCTCCTTGACCCTTAGGCATCAGCTGTTCTGCAAACTCACCCTGCGGCACATCAACAAGTCCCCAGAGCACGTACTGAGGCATACTCAGGGCCGGCGCTACCAGAAAGCTCTGCATAAATGTAAGTGATGTGGGGGGCACAGCCTGCCTGAGTCACAGGTATTTGGGTGCATGCCTGCCCTCCCAGGATGAGCACCCCTAGAGGGCAGAAGTGGCACCTGCATCATTCTTTGGCAATACTTGGTGGATGCACCAGCCCCAAACAATAAGAGAGGTGAAAAGCAGGAAGCCGACTCCCAGTACAGTACGTCCAATCGTCATCCATAGCTTCTGTGACTTTAAGCTACTTATAACGAAGCCAGTTTTACCATCCACTGATTGATCTAGAGTTAAGTTCCTGCGGCATCTCATCAGCATTGCAATGGAACGTTACTGGAGGACCTACCTAATCACAGGTCGTGATGAGTGCTGTGAGGGGACGGTCCTGGGGAGCCAGGAAGGCCTGCCAGACTCAGGAGGCCTGGGAAAGGCTCTCTGAGGGCCTCTCGGCTGAGACTGAGGGACGTGCGGAGTGGCAGGGGACAGGATCCAGGCCAGGTCCAAGGCAGAAACACGCTGGGCCCTGGGGGGTTCTGAAGGATGTGCCTTCTTGGTGCCACCATGCACACTGGGCTAGAAAGGTGGGTGGGGCGAGAGCACAGGGGGTCTTGAAGGCCATGGTCAGGAGCACGTGCAGCGGGAATGCACTGAAAGGGTTAAAGCAGGGACTGGCATGACTGATGTGTCTCAGCATCACTGTTCCTCTGAGGAGCAGAGGGGAGGGGTGCAGAGGGGACAGTGGGTGACTGTGCAGTTGTCCAGAGGAAGACAGTGGCTGGGGCTCCGCTTTGGCCTCCAGGTGCTGGCAGGGAAGATGGGATGATGTGGACAGGTTTTAGCTTTGGAGGGTAGGATTGCTTGGTGAGGGGTGAGGGACAGGAGAAGCCGGCCAGTTCCCAAGTTCCCAGCTTGAGAACTGCTCAGTGACGGTCGGCAGCATGAAGGTAGGAGAGAGGAGTCTGAATAATGGGCTTGTGGGGAAATTGAGTGAAAGGTGAGCACTCTAAATGGGAGGCGTGTCAGGGGGTGGCTATCGAACACACGGGCCAGCACTCAGGTGATGCAGATCACTACACAGAGGTGGCATTTGGGTCCACGGAGCCCGTTGAGAAGGGACGGGGTGGGACCTGCATACTGAGGAGCCCAGGAAGGTGCGGAGGGACGGGGTGTCTGGGACAGAGGAGGTTCAAGGAGGAAGCCATGGACTCACCACACGTTAGCCACGGGCGATGAGACAGGCAGCTGAGTGGCGTGGCGGGGAGAGGGCCGGGCTGGCGCCGGGCAGTGGGCTGCAGCCCGTGAGGCGGGGGAGGGGACCCAGTAGGGCAGTCGGGTGGGTTTGGTGATGGGAAGACGAGGGCGAGAAGGGCAAGGCTTTACTGCTTCCCGGTGAGGCGTGAGACCCAGTCTCCACCTGAGGCCGAAAGCGGAGGCGGCTCACTTTCCACGCCTGTTTCGGGGGCCCCGCAGAGCCTGTGCAGGAGCAGGGCCTGTGCAGGAGCAGGGCCTGGGGCTTCATCTTGTCGCGGGCAGCTGCTTAGGTGGGCAGGAAGGCGCTGCGGGGGCTGGACTGCTTCTGGTCAGTGAGAGAGCATAATGCTGAACCACGGGGCGGAGACCGCACGAGGAGGCACAGCATGGTGGTGAGGGCACCTGGCCAAGGGTGCTGGTTGTGACAAGGCTACTGTGGGGCCTGGGAGTGGGTGGCAGACATGGAGAAGGGGATAGGGTCTTGGAGGTGGTTAGAATTGGGTAGTGATCCCAGCAGGGCTCATCTACCCCATGAGTGATGGTAGGAGTTGGGGGGATAGTGAGAGCCAGGCCCCTGTCACCACCTGCCCCTCGAGGGAGCTTTACTGGACTAGGGAGGCTCATGCTGATGGAGGGCATCTGAGTCCTCAGCGCAGGAAGGGACAGTGTGACTGCAGTGAAGTCTTTCCATGGAAGTCTCATTCCTGCCTGTGCTCCTGGCCAAAGGTCCGCAAAGGAGTTCCCAACTCCCACAGAGCCCACCGTCCAGGGTAGGCTCCCAGTCACTGTGCCTGAGGGGGCTTCAGTCTCCTGGTGATAAGCTGGTGTGGTTTCTGGGTCAGGTGCGCTGGGCCCTGTGCAGCCTGGCGCCCTCCCAGCTGCTGCTTCCTGGAGCCTGGTGGGTCCGGCCAGAGGAGGGCACTCAAGGCCCTTAGACCTGTACCATCTTGTGCCTCAGCCACACACCCCTGGCCTCTCCTGGCCTCTCCTGGCCTGGTGGGAACTTAGCTTGTGGCATTTCCCTGCCACGGCTGAGATGTACCTGTAGTGGGGTGGGTACAGGGCCCAGAGGATGGGAGACATGGAGAGAACCAGGCAGTGTGCTGCCTGTCTCCCAGATGAAGAGTGTCAGAAGCAGGGTGTGGAGTACGTGCCCGCCTGCCTTCTGCACAAGAGGAGGAGGAGGGAGGACCAGATGGATGGTGACAGGCCACCCCACCTGAGAGCAGCCTTCTGGGAACCTGAGTCCAGCGATGGGGACGGCACAGCTCCGAGTGACAGTGACGACAGCATGGCAGACCTGTACCCACGTAAGTGCGAACGTGCTCCCCCCCTCCTGTTGACTGTTCCGCAGATTCAGAGCACCGCTGTCCTGTCCATTTCCAGCAGCAAGTGGGCTCTGGCCTGTTCCTCCCTGTGCTCGACCCCTTAGCCCCCTGCATAGGTGGTGACCTTAACCTGAACCAGCCGATCCCTCTTCCTTCCAGCCGAGCTGTTCACCAAAAAGGACCTGGGTGGGACTGAGCACAGGGACAATCCTGATGACCTTTTGACAGATGATGACGAGAAGCCAAGAGAAGAGATGGAAGTGTCCCGGGAGCTGGCCCTCAAACGCAGGAAGGTGAGGGGTACCCCAGGGCTGCTGACAGGCAGCAGTGTCCTCAGCGATGGTTTTCAGCTTCTTTAGAAAAATAAAAGCCCTTGGCGCAGGTAACATCCCAAGCCAACACCGCGTGAGCTAGGAGCCAAGGCTGCTCGGATGGGGCGGCGCCGCTTTCTGTTTGCACCTGCATGGGAGCCAGGGGGCGCGGAGCAGGTCCAAGATCACTGGTCTGAGGGACAGCTGCCTGTGTGGCACAGGAACCCAGAGGAAGGGACCAGATTAGGCACCACCCTGTACCTTTCTGGATGGGGCAGGAATTTCGTTCCCTTTGGTAAATGAGAATGGGGCTGGAAGAGGTAAAGGCCTTTGTTGCATTTGGGGGTTCGAAGCCCTGCCTTTGATGAGCCCAGCAGCTCTAAGGGAAATTGGGTAGAGAGCAGACCTAGGGGTTTCCAGCTAAAACCTCCCCGTGGGCTGGGGGGCGGGAGCCTGACTCTGCACCCGTTCATCTCGGAACTGACTGGAAGTATTCCCATTACAGAAGCAGTTGGGCTCGTCATCAAAGAAGTTCAAAAGCCATCACCGCAAACTGAAGCGCTTCGGCTCCTTTAAGCAGTCGGGTTAATAAAAGTTTGCCAGAGAAAACACAGCCTTTTGAGAGTCCTTGGGGTATGTCACCGTGTTTCTCTTCCGCCTGCCGTGACCCCCAAACTGTTGGGGTGTCCTGGGGTTTTCTCCATCCACTGATTGGCTTCCCCAGAAGGCAGGGCTGGGTCTGTCCCCCAGGTGTCAGGGTCCCGTCCCCCACACTCAGGACACAGCAGGAACATGGAGGGGAGAATCCTGTCTGGATGTGGCTTCTAAGTGGTCCTCACTGTGGCACCTAGAGAGCCCTGGCAAGGCCGCACCCACCTAGACAGCACCTGAGGGTCACACTGCATACAACAAATGCCATTATTTATTTTGATGTTTCCAAAAATCAAAACGTTTTCAAACACAACTAAGATATAAAATACAGCATAAAATGAGATTGATACCTATTTCCCACATAAAGCAAAAAATTTTTCAAAAATTGTTTTGCCAAAACCAATTGGTAGATCATTTTCCACTCCTCCCGCAAAGATGTAGGTCTACCCTGGGCCCAGGCACTAGCCTGCTTGGTGCCGGGGAGGTGGGAGTGACCTCCTCCGGCATGGATGGTGACCAGGGACGACCAAACAGAGGTCTCTGAGCACAGAGCCAGGAAGGACCCATATGTGCGAGAAACAGTGCTATAGCGAGATGCAACTTGGCTGAGGGTGCTGCTCGATGGGGCTGTCATGATGTGTTAACAGGGAAGGGGGTGTGGACCATGAGATGACCCTGGTGAGGCTTAGTCAGAAAGTGAAACCCTCCATGTAGTGAGCATCTGAGTGATCGGGAATAGGAACACATCCCTCAGCCATGGCTCTGCCTAAATAACGCTCAGGATGAGCCTCCATCGTGGCTGGGGGACGAGTGGTGAAGTGGTACAATCTTACTCCCCTCGGTTAGGTGGGGCCAGGCTGCAAAGCCAGGTTCAGTTCTAAGAGCCCTGGTGGGCAAAAGGCAGCCATCTCCGCCCTGCAAAGCCTACTGGGGGCAAGAAGAGGCTCCACCTCACCCTGGCCCTAGCCTGGAAGGTAAACATGGAACCTGGCTCAGGACTACCTCCCCCCTCCTCGCCCCCAGGATGGCCCTCAGGCTCGCACACCTAGCTGATGACCAGAGAGCCAAGCCCCGAGGCCAGCCTCCTGGTCAGCCTGGCCAAGTCGGTCTGTCCCCAAAGGATTGAGGGGAGGACAACAGGAGGCACAGAGATGTTCCAACTCCCCTGGTGGCCTTTGCTACGATGTGGACTAGCAGAGAACAGCAAGTGCTCACAACCCCAAGAAGAGAAACACAGTGTAAGGCAATGTTAAAAAACTTTAAATATAGGAGTCAGATCCAATCGGTAAGGCATCACAAATCGTAAAAAGTAATTTGGGCTGTGTTCAGCATAGCAGATAGCTGATCTGAGCAAGCAACAGCCTTGTGAAAACATAAGTCGTGGCTGCGCAGCCTGGGAGAATCCCTCAGACCAAAGAAAACCCAGGCACCTGGCCAGGGTGAGCTCTGCCCAGTTTCAGCCTTGGCTGCGAAAGGTCAAGTGTGAGGTAACTGGTCTGCTAGCTGCGTGTCACTGTTCCTCCCCAGCAGGTCACAGGGGAGCAGCTGGGGCCAAACTGCAAGCATGCAGGTGAGCGCGAGGGTCCCTGCGGGCTCCTGGGGGCTTCCTACAGGACTTCTATCTCCATCCCCACCTTGAGCCATGTAAGCTCCCAGATCCCATATAAACTGCCCCAGTCTGGGCCAATTTCCTGATTAATCAATGACTTTTTCCATGAACAGTGGCCCCTCTAATACTGCCTCATTCTCTGGGGCTTGGGTTTCTCTTAAGTATTTTCACTGTCCTTATATTATTACAATGCAAGGCAGAAACAACGTGAAAGCCACTGGTGCGATTTTAAACCAGAGAGTTTTACGGTGTCTTTGATGTTTGGGCCATCTGAAATCATTTAGTAGTTTTAGCTAAAAAACGTAAACTTTAAAAAAAATAAGAGGGAGACTGCTTTGAATGATACACAAATGTATCTGCTCATAGTACAGCTTGAAGGCCCCCACCCCCCCAAAAAAACCAAAACAAAAACAGGACAGAGGCCGCAACCAGCCCAGCTGCTCACAGGAGAGCGGAGGCCTGCCGTGGGGAGGGAGGAGCCAAGCGTCCGCTGGCTCTGACTGGTCAGAGAGCAGGTGGCAGGTGTAGAGCAGATTCAGCCATCAAATCTCGGGTCTGCAGAGAAATTTCTCACACATCTGTGCCTTTACCAAGGCAGGGAAGGGAAGAGGGTACATAAATGCCGGCAGTCTTGTCGAATCCACCCCGAACCAGTCCTGGACAGCCACGGGTCTTAGCCAGGCAGAGAAGGGGTCTGTTACCACTCTTTCTTCTTCTCGTCCATGGAGACGCCCCCGGGGCCCAGAGCCACCACCAGAAGCAAGCCTCCGATCACCGACATGGTCTGGAAGAAGTCGTACTTGAGGAAGTCATGCATGGGCTTGTAGACAGGAATGGTCCAGAAGGCGTTGAAATACACGTTGATGGCGAACAGCCAGACGACAAGAGTCAAGGCGGCCAGCTTGGTTTTAAAGCCAACGGCCACTAAAATCATCAGAGCTGTGCCCACGATGTTCTGGAGGATCTGCATAGGTGGAAAGTAAGAACTCAAAATGCATGTGAGGAAGAGCTGTATTGTGCCCGGTGCTCTGAGAGGCCACCACCAGCTGGGGCTGTTACAGGTGGGGATGAAACCGGGTGCTGGGGGCAGGAGATGAAGCAGCGCCCAGAAACACAGCAGGGTGACTCCCCAAGACCATTTGGGTTTGGGCCTGGTGGACCTCCACGTGTAACAGTGCTTCTTAGGACCAGCCTCCTGGTCCCTTGGCCTGCGGATCCTCCTGGGAACCTCACCAGGCAGGGCTCACACTCAGCTACAAAGACCTGCTCTGTAAGCTCCTAGAGACAAAGCCAGAACCTTCTTCCACTCTGCATCCCCAACACCCGGCACACAAAGATTACGAGATAAAGGTGAGGAAGGAAAGAAAAACAGTCTGTATAAGGACTAGGCACCAGGACCCTCCGGTGAGGCCCAAGATTCTGGACTCATTTGTTTGGAAGGCAGGTTCTTGGCACACAAGAATGTGACAGCTTTCTGCTTCTTTTAATAGGATCAAAAGGTTTGCTTCCTTTGAGCAAACGCCTTCCAATGGCCCCTCGGCTCTGGCTCTGCTTCGCACACACCAGGGCAGAGCAGGGCAGGGGCTGGAAGGACGGCAGACCAGACCTGGTTCAAGGAGCAGGAATACTTACAGAGAAGAAGCTGGAGTCGAAGTGAAGGAGGGTCATGAACATCAGGACCAGCAGGACCCTGCCTCCGAGCTGCATGTACTGTTTGGGGGAGCTCTCACGCATGGTGGGGACACCCGCAAACATGCTCTTCCCTTCAGAACGGGACTCTGCTAGGAGCAGCAACAAGCCTCCTCCCAGGGCCAGGTTCCTGTGGAACAGAAATGCCAGGCTCATGGCACAAGCTCAGGCTCTAGGGCCCCCGCGCCCCTTTCTGCAGACCAAGCAGGACCAGGATGTGCGAGTCCACGGGAGCAGACTCGGAAACCCTTATATGACTGAAGACACAGGTGTGTTTGTGCCACTAGACAGTGACAGGTCACCCAAGCACACTTGGAACCCGGTCCTGTTTTAGCTTTACTGTTGACCAGCTGGGTCCCTGTGAAAAGTGTTTCCACTCAGATGCCCATTCTCTCCCTCAGGAAACCCAGGTCAGGAGCTGCGACTTCACCCTCACATGTTCTACGGGCCCCGGGTGGGGGTGGAGCTGCTCGGCCAACGTCCACCAGAGTCTAATAAGCAGCACAGCTTTGACCCCAAGAAGTTTACTCAGCTGACGGTTACAGAACAGAGTTTAGGTGTGGAAGGAAGTACAGTGACCTCCCCAACCAGAACACACGTACCTCATCAAAAACTTCAAGTCCCATAAAATGCTGTAGGCGATCGTCTGAGGGGAACAGAGGACAGAGAAAAATGAGTGTCAGCCTTTTCAAATAACCTTTTTTTCTACAGAATTAATAGCATTAAGCAACTTTTTTTTTTTTTTTTTTAAATTTAAGATACACAGAACCGTTTTAGGACACCTGACACAGCTCCAAGGTCAAGTTTGGCTCAGCATGTCTCAGAGCATGCTGGTGGCCCTGGACCTGTTTAATCAGAGCTGCGCCCAAGGTGTCGCGGAGAACATGGTGGCTCGGAAACCACCATCCCAGACTAAAAGGTTGCATGTTGAAGAGTGCATCCAAACAGCTAGGTCCTCATGAAGCAAAACAGTAACAAGAATAGGGTCCTGATGGCAGCCAACCTGTGATTTATACTCTTGCCAAAGAAAACCCAGGCAAGTGGCAAAGGCGGGCACCTAGAGCTCAGCCCTTAGCGCACCAGCCTCTCCAGCCCTGCTTGGCGGTCCCTTCTCCGAGTCTGTCTTGAGGAAAACTGAGCCGCTTCTCAAGAAAGGAGCTCCAGAGAGGGAGACAGAGGGCCAAAGGGGGAGTGATGCTGAGTCCTCAAAAATGCCTTTTCAGCAGCTCTGCTCCAACCATAGCAAGAAGCAAGGCCCCCACGTTTACCTGAAGCGCTACATTTCCTGGGTGAGACCCCCACCTCGTGCCGTTTTCCTGCAGCACTATGGTTCCTGGGAGAGACCCCAACCATACGCCCTGTTTATCTGGAGCACTGCGGTTCCTGAATGGGACCTGACCTCAGGCCCCGTTTACCTGCAGGGCTATGATTCCGAAGAGCCCGAAGCAGGCGTACTGCACGAAGTTTCTGCTCAGCACCAGGATGCAGCCAGCTGGAAAGAAGAAAGCAAGGGTCAGGGGGCTGTAGGCGAGTCCCGGGTGAGGAGACACTGCCATAGTCACTGGCCACCTCAGCTGGCCCTCAGGCACAGCAGCAGCCCACTTACCTACCCCACACAAAAATCAACTTGTGGGACGATTAAGGACAAGCACGAACCGCACGCATGCGTCAGCTGCACTGCTGACTTGGTACAGAGAACAGCCCTTGTTCCGAGTCAGCTGCCATCACAGGCTCTGCGGCATCAAGCAGGACAGGCCGAAAATGCAAGTCCCTGTTCTGCCCTGCGTGCACAGGGTGGAGGCAGCCACAGAAGACAGTCCAGGAGGAAAAGGAAGGCCTGAGGCCAGTGTGAGCTGCATTCTGGCCTAGTCTCTCCCTTCATCTTGATTTATCCTTCCAGACACCTTGGATTTTCACTGCCCGGCTCCTCACTGGCCCACCCAGCTCACGAGCATCTGCTCTGGGCACTTAAACACAGGGACTGTGTCCTATTTCTTTTCTTTTAAAAAAAAATATATCTTTGTTCATTCAGAGAGAGGATGGGAGACAGAAACATCAATGATGAGAGAGTCATCACTGATGGGCTGCCTCCCACACACCCCCAACTGGGATCGGGCCCACAACCTGGGCATGTGCCCTGACTGGGAATCGAACCACGATCTCCTGGATCATAGGTCGATGCTCAGCCTCTGAGACACGCCGGTCAGGCTATCCTATTTCTTTAGCAAGCCCCCAGCAATCAGCCCAGGGCTGAACACCCTGCTATCAGTGAGGGAGCCCGACTACCCTCCGAGCCACTTACTCAGCTGTCCGAGCAGGTTGAGGAGCACGAAGGAGGAGGCCACCAGGTAGCCACAGCCCCAGGTGCTGTCGATGTAGTCCCGCTGTTCGCCCCACTGGAACCACATGCGCACGCCGTCCTCCAGGAAGGTACTGATCAGGCAGAGGCGCGCCACGTGCGGGAGGTACTGCTTCGTGACTCGGAGGAACTGTCGGGCCACAGACACCCTGGTGAGGGGCTGTGGCAGAGCCCCCAGCCTCCAGCCCCCAGCCAGGTGCTTCCTGGGTGCCGTACATGAGACTCTCAGCACCTGCTCCCAGCATGCCGTGTGGGTAACAACCTGTGTGCCAGTTCCAGAGGCAGCTCAGACCCAATAAGGTGACAGCATGACGCTCTTCTATGACCTCCTCTGTCATCTCAGCAGACACGTGTAGTGACAACTACAGTCTTCAAACAAGAATTGCCACAAGACACAGCTTCTGTTCTCAGGCAGGGGCATCAACAAGTTAAAACCCCTAGGGGAGAGGGGCTCGCCCAGAGGTACTGACTGGACACACTGTGCTGAGGCCTGACCCAGCCTGCTGGTCATAGCTGAGCCCTTGGCCTCCCAGCCACTCCAGCAATGCTAGAGACCTGAGAGTGCTCCTGAGATGACAGTCCCCTTAGGCTACAGCCAGGGTCCCAGGCCTAGAGGGCCTCATGGTCGGCCAATAGTAAGCTCACGTGTTTACACTCATTGGACATCTCTGGAGCAGCGGAAGGGAAGGCCAGGCTCTGGCCAGCACAGGTGCGCAGTCAGCACCCACAGTGCATCTCCCAGCCCATCACAGGGTTCCTCTCTGGAGAGCTCGCAATCGGGCCTAGGCAACCGTGCGTGCATAACTGTGAATACACACCTGAACCTGGTATGGGTAATGGCTAGAAAGCTCAGGGATTGCTTTTTAAAAGCCTGAGTGGGCCAAAGTGAATTAAAAACACACTAACCAATGGGATGGACAGCTGTTTCAACAGCAATGAAATCAAGTGTGTAAAATCACTGGCTAATGTCAAAGAGAAATACATGCTTCGTGCAAGCCTTGCCATTTATGGTGGTGTGATTAGGAAACAAATGCACATGGAAACTGAGGTACAAATGTCCCCAGGTGTCTCACATGCACTTTCTCTTACCAACCGTATGAAGCTGAGATACAAAGGGACAGAAATCCTAGGGTGCATGATAACAGCAGGAACTCGGGAGAAAGATCGGGGACCCACCCACATGAGTGATGTGTCAGCAAGTGAGAGTCTAAAGGGCATCCATAAGCCTGACCCCTAAAGGGACAGTCAGATTAATGCCACAGCCCTTCTGAAGGCTGATTAAATCAATTGTGGCAATAAATGAAGATGTGTATATGAGCATTTCTGAATTTCTGGCATTTTGAAAAGCTGTTTAACAGTGCTAGAAACTGCCAATGCTATCTGTTGCAGTTAATGAGCCTCTGGATGTTTCGTTCATCAGCTCTGGCTCCTGAGCACAGAGAAGCCTGGCTCACCTGGGAGGGAGCGATCACAAGTCAGGTGTCCATTCCCTTCCAACCCACTGAGCTCGAGCTCCAAGCTGTCGATTCTGCGCACGTTTGCTCAGCCCATCACCCCCACTGCAGTGATGGCAGAAGTCACAGAGCCAGCCAGCCAAGCAGGCATGGGACATAACCTCAGGCTGAGGCTGAAGCCCGTGTCCTCCTCCTGGCTCTGCCACCCACCAGCCGGTGCCCTGTGACACCATGGACAAACTAAATTACTTTGGGGGGGGGTGTCTGTGCTACACTTCTACAAAGTGAGGACAGCTGGATTAATGGTTGCTAAGGTTCGTTCCAACTTTAATAAGCAGGAGGAGAGGGAAGGGGGAAGGACCTAGTTTAAAAAAAGACGTCCCAAGTACTCCTACATGAATTCTGGAGTCCACGTAGAGAACAAAGGAATACACTCAGTGTAAACACACACTGCATTAGATCAGGGGGTTCGGGGACCGCTGACGCCATGCCCCCTCCTGTTTCTGCTTCATGGCCCAAATGCTTTTGAAATGCCCAGCAACGGTGCAATCACCCCTAGTCCCTGAGATGAACAGCACCTCCTTGGCTCTAATGCTAGGGCCTTGTGCTCCGGCCCCACTGAGAAACCTTGGCAATGACAGAGGCCTCACCTGCTGTTACGCCTTGGGGGAAGCACAGTGAGGCTGGGCAGACTGAGACTAGAGCCACGGTGGGACTCCTGGGATGGGGGTGACCCCAAAGGCAGCACAGGGACACAGTGACAAACATTGGAGGTGTTCTGACTTGCCTCCCAATTGGAACTGAAAGCCGCTCCCTGCCCAGTCTGCCCATCCTGCACCCGGGCGCACGGGGCTTTGGTCTAAGAGTACCCTATCTACCACTGGCAGGCACAGCAGCCCACGAGACAGGGGCAGGGTTTAAAAGCCTCCGTGATGAGTCTGTACTCTTAATTTGAGTGTCTGGATCAAGAGGATTAAAGAGCAATGCAGAGAACCTTCCCTTCAGACAGGTAATTCACTCCTCGCTTCCCCAGGCAGACATGCCGAGAGTAAGGAGACAGACGTCTTTTTACTTTGGAAAAAGCTGCAACAATCCAGGTGTCTATGCTCTGAACTACATACTGACTTCCAAAGTCAGTGGTCTAGGTTAGGGCTGTTTTACTATTTTATAAGTCTGGCTGATACAGAGCCCCCTTTAAACCAGCAACCTTCTAATAAGCACCTGTCTGGACTGGACACGAAGGACCCAATTTTGATCTTATTTCCTACATGTATTTTGGTCACCAGGGTCCAGACTTGGCCACTGAACCCACACCATGCCACTCTAGACAGCATCCCAAAGCCAGTGTTCCCTCAGGAGAGCAGAGAAGGGCCAGGCATCAGGCATCCAGGTAGCACCTGAGGGCCGAGAGCTATCACCTGCCTGGTGCTCCGATAGGCCGGCATCCAGCAGCCATCAGGCCTGAGGGCCAGGGCTGCTCTCAGGAGGGAGTCACGACAAGCTGCTGGAGGCACACACAGCAGGGGAGCCTGCAGGAGGGACAGTCAGCCACGCTCTGGGGGTGGGCCTTTCACAGGAATCTCAGGCCCTCAATCCAGCCCATTTCACAACCAGTAACAGCACCTGAGTGACCTCAGAAATATTGGAGCTGAGATTTATTTTCAAGGGGTTGTTATTTTAGGGGATTGAAGTGCAGAGCAGGACGTTTGTGGACTGCTCAGCTCACTAGTCTCAGCCCCTCTGACCTGGTCTCAGGTGGCTTCCAAGTGCCCAGCTCCCGCAGCCTAAGTCATAACTCTGGAAACACAGCAACTGTCACACAGCCACCTGCAGCTCCCGCACGACACAAAAATACCTACTTTCTCCTCAAGAGCAGGACTGAAAGGAACTGAGGCAAGCAGTCTGCGAGTCTTGGTTAGTGAGAACTTGGAGAGGACCAGGACCAGCCTTCTTTATCACTGAGGACAGGGCTGCCCTCTCAAGGGCCAACTCATGCCCACACATCCTTGAAAACTGGGGCCTGTGGCCGGGTGACTTTCCTCGGGCTGAGTCAGGCAGGTGCAGGAGTTCAGTGACTCACACATGCATGTCCACTGTGACCCCAGAACTCCCCAGTCTAGTCTCCCTGAGTGCTGCTCTGTAGCACCTGGAGGGACAGGAAGGTGTCAACTGGCCTTAAGGTGGAGAGATGGGCTGGTTTTCTCTACTCAAAATCCATGTGTGACAAAGAACCTACCTATTGTAGAGCAGCCACACGGAAGAGAACACAGCTGTACCTCACCTTCCGGGGAAGCCTCACTAACCAGCCTCCCCATGTCTCCACGCCCCAGAAGAGGTGTGGTGGCTTCTCAATCTCCTAAGGAAAAGTGCTCCCCTCTGTCCTCTCTCCCCACTCGTGATGGTGCAAGGCAGGAGGCCCGGGGGGGGCGGAGGGGAGGAGCAAGAGGCAAATGCTCAGAACCCACACCCATGGCATCCCCAAGCTGTTAATCCAGAGCCTAACACCAGCCTGTGCCCCATTCAGTGTCCTATAAAGCCATCCTTACTACCCAATGCTTGACTGAGGCAAAGGGGAGCTCCTGGGAGTGACAGCTCCAGGGACTGGCTTTGTCATGCCAAAGGACAGGTAAAAATACCAAGGCAACGCTGGACAGTAAGCCCCCATGCAGTGTGTGTCACCTCGGTGATGAGCCATCAGGCAGAACTCAGTAAGTGCTGCTACTCCAGTCTACGGGGTCTGTGTGCTCGACTTCACGTTCTGCACAGGGGCAGCGAGGACCAGTGCAGAGCAGGACGTTTGTGGACTGCTCAGCTCACTAGTCTCGGCCCTTCTGACCTGGTCTCAGATGGCTTCCGAGTGCCCAGCTCCCGCAGAGAGCCCTCTCAGCACTTTCCCCAGCACCTGGCCCCTTGGGAGTAGGAGGACACTGTCCCTGGCTGCCCAGGGCAAGGAGCCTGATGCCAGAGAGACAGCTTGAGAGGAGCCTGCCAGCGGAAACAAATCTGACCGCTTACCCTGTGCTCACCTCTGCAGATCTGAAGGAAAGGTCACAGTATGGCCAAGCAGCAAGGAGCCCAGACTTGGGGTACCATGACATGGATTCAAACTTCAGCCCACTATGTGCTGTGCAAGACCTCGGCAAACCTCCCTCCCCACATCAAGATGAAGACACCGTGGCCAACCTCACCCTGTCCAGAGGGTGACACAGTGATATGTATGGAGGATCTGGCTGTGCTGGTGCAGTTAAAGGGTCAGTATTACTGTCATAAATACCAGTGGACGCACGGGCCTTTTTAGGTCCCACTCTCAGCAGCCCTGACTTTCTGGTCAAATCCTGTCACTTCATTTTTGTTTCTGTTTTCTGAAGACAAGGTTTGAAAAAAAAATAGGTATGTCACATTATCTGATCAGTGACTTCAATATTTCTCTATTCCCTTCAAGTCAGATCACTTTCATTTTAAAGGCCTGGACTCTCGCCCCTTTATTATTGGCAGCTTTGCTTTAATACTATGTGGATAAACGTTAAAAATCAAAGTGCCACCCCAGGCTGGCCAGGTTTGTCCATAGGAAGCCATGACTTCGGCTCTGCATCCTGTTATCCGCCCACATCCTCCTACACCCAGCCTGCCTGTGACAGAAGAGGCTCCTGACTGGTTTTGAAGAGCACCAGGACCTCTGCCCTCTTGTGTCGCCCACACAGAGGCATCTGCTGACATCCTCTGCCATTGCCATGGCGGCCCTGTGTTGATAAACTGAGGCTGCACTCCCAGACAGACACGGCCTTGGTCCACTTTGATTTTTAGGCAGCATGCCTCTTCCCTGTGTTTGTGCCAGGAGAGGAACATGTGGCAACAGCCTCGGGATCGGCTGGCCCACGAGCCTCAGCAGGCCTTGCCTTCCTTCCCACAGTAACTCGGTACAGGGTGGCCCTGTGTGCCCCTCTACAGCCTTTCCAGTTCCCAGATTCTGCTTCTTTCATTTAAAACAAACAAAATGCATGAGAGGAAAAGAAGGAAGGGTTATGTAAAGAGAGCTGAACTTTTTTTTTTCAGTAGGAGAGTTTATCACTTGATAGTTGGCAGCAGCTTACTAGAGACATTTTAGCTAGATTTGATTATGAAATTCACTTGCAAAACTAGGGTTTTCCAGGCTGAAGAGCTAGTGTTCATAGCTCTCACAGTTCCCTCAGCTAAAATTGGGTCACTAAAATTATGTCAATGAAAACTGACAAAGAAGCCTACGTGGTTCTTGAGAGCTTTCAATATGAACTGTATTTGCCAGGGATACAATTTTTAAACTGTGTCTGTAAACACAAAATCGTGACCTTAGGAAAAACTATTTCTCCAGGTCGATAGAGCCCCCTGCCCCAAAGTGGTTTTAAAGCACTGGGTCACAGGAAAGTGGTGCACTGAGAACCCAATTATGAGACCACACTAGAGAGATATCACCCGGGGGGGGGGGCGCAGCGGAAAATCTTGTTCACTGATAACTCATCAGAAAACATGGCTTATTTTTTAAAAAATCACATTCAAACCCTCCAAGAAGCCCAGCCACAGAGGAGGATGACTCGATACCACTCCCATAAAAGGTAAGACCTTAACCTCACAACTTTGAACTCTGGCAAAGCCAGTATAAACACAACAAGTGAACCAAGGCAAGAATGGCAAGGCGGCCAGACCCAGATCTGCCTGCAGGGATGAAGCTGTCGATCTGTACACATAACGGGATACTTTTATAAGCCAGAGGCACACAGCTAAATAATCCCCACCGCTTTTCTTGCCAAGCAAGTCAAACAAGAGGGTGGGAGCTCTGTCCTCTCCCCCTTCCAGGATCTGAGTCTGTCCATCCAGTTTTTAATACCTTTACCAGTGTTACCCAACTGCCCGCTTCCAGGGCTTCCCTGTGGCTCAGAACGCCACCTGTACACTTCTGGGAGGAAAAATCCCCAGGAAGACAAGCGTCCCCTCCTCCCAGGTTTGTGTACAGATAGACAGATACTCATTCAATTCAGTCCCAGGGCAGAGTCCAGGGAGGGGACGTGCAGGGTCAAAGGGACCCCACGAGTCCACACGTCTGGGAAAGGAAAAAGTGCTGTGCTTTCTGTAGTTGGGGTGCATACCAGGGAGCCCCTTTCCTCGGGGAGGATTCCCCCAGACCTCCAGTCTGACCAACCCCTGCTCAGGGTCCCAGCTCCCACCCCGCCTCCTGAGAGTGCCCAGTAAAAAGAAAAGCGTGCAGGGACCACCCCGACAGCTGGGAATGGAGGATGCCCCCCAAATCCCCAGGACTTGGGCGGCCTTCTCAGGAGGCGGGGAGGCAGCCGCTCACGCCCCTCACCTTCCAGGAAGGCCCCGGGCTGGCTAGGGGGACGGGTCACCCGAGAAACACCCCGAGCCGTGGTGAGGAGGCGGCGAGAGGGCACGATGGGCCCGGAGGCCAGGTCTGGGGGTGTCCGGGGCAGGGACAGGCAACGAGCCGAGGAGGGAGGGCCGTGGTTGGGGGAGGGGGCGCGATCCCTCCGGTGGGATCCGGAGGGGTGAGGGCACGGCCCAGGCCTCGGGACGGACCCTGCGGGGCTCGGGCG